TGGGCACCAGAGGTTTAAAAACCTCTCACAGATTAAAGCATAAAGAAGTACTTAGAAGCAGTGTATGAATTTCAAACAACACTTGAAAGCTCAGAATTCGTCAAACTAGAGCTTTCAGAAATGGTGAGAAAAACTGAATCAAGACTAATCAACTGCCTTTCACAGCATCTGTTTAAGACAACACCTGATGTCCTGGAGATCACATGGAAGCATGCTGAATGGGAATATAAAGTTTACTAAGGTTTTTGCAGTTTAAGGGAAAAAAAAAAATCAAGTATTCTTTTGGGATAAAGATGATTTTCAAAGGAAATTGTAAGGTAAGTTCCAAAACCAACTCACATCAAAACCCCCTGGGAACTGAAAAGACATGCGATGTAGAATATTCACAAGGACCTGAGGACAAGTTGCTCTATTAAAGTCTTATTTTTATACTGAATAAAACATAACTTATGTTATACAATTCAACTTTTTCAGACTTTAATCCAACAGTTACCTAAAAGGTACCCAGTGCACTAAGGTGTCCTATCAGAGGAGAAAAGCTTTGTGCATTAAAAAGCATCAAAGCCTCCCTGCAATAAATTAGTCAGGCAGACACTAGTGCCAGTTCAGCTTGTGCTTCGTGCCACTTCAGACTATTCCTAACTGCAGCTATGAAACTCAAGTTGACTAAAGTTAATAAAATGTGTCTGTGGGATGGACATCTGCCCAGCTCACCCCACGCCCAGGGTGTCAGGTTAAGGACAGGAGCTAAAGCAGAATTTATCCCAATTTCCTGAAAATTCCCCTGGATAAAGATGCACAGCTGCGTTAACAGGCTCTGCTCTCTCTGCAGCAGTTTCAGAAGAGGATCCAGGGCAGAGACAGAGGGGGAATGGCCTCAGATCTGAGGAATTCCTGTCTTCTGCCTTGAGCAGTGTGAGGCAGGTTCTCCCAACCTTCCAAATGCCCCACTCCAGCCCCAAATTTGGATGCTAGGGTTACCTCACAATTTCTGGCTGAAGAATGTTGACAGTGAAAACACCTTCCCTCTGCCACACTCTATCCCAAAGTGGGCATGACAACACTCGTTCCACTTCTATGTTCTTAAAAAATTGCAGAGGTACCACATATGAGTATTACTTCAGTGTTCATTAAGTTAAATAAATGATGTTTGAAGCAAGAAGTCTTTATAAATTTTTCTTCAGGCAAACACTGAAATATTTCAGACACAGAAGGTGCTGGTGGACCTGCATAAGGGATGAAAAACTCTGGACCATCAACTTAGCTCGTAGTTTCATATTAAGTCATGATCTGGCCTCTATAATAGTCAGTTAGCAGCAGCCTACATATAAAATGTTTAGAAACACCTCTTCCATTTTCTATTTAATTTCTTCTTCCCTTGTTTTACCCCACCCTGCTTCACAGAACGCAGGAGTTGAAAGAAAAATTAGCCCAGATAACAAACACTAGAGGACAAGAACCACAATGGTCCCTCTTGTGTAACAACAAAAACCATAGGCTCTGTACCTGCACTGGGGCATCCACAAGAATCAATAATTTGATCAGAAAACATGTGAAAAGTTCAGAAGACCCATACAATTAGTTTATGAATAAAGTATGTCACTCTCCTTCAGTCCCCAAAGTAGACTGTTATTTGTGAAATACCAACTGTGACACTGAGACAGGAACTCAGAAAAAGGCATCTTAACCACTTTAAAGCAAAGGCAGATGATAAAGCAAGACCTTCAGAAGGACTCTGCCAAAGAGGTTAGCTTAATCTGTTCTTTAAACAATTTAAAGAAAACATGCAGCTGCACTTGCACAGTTCCACATTAATTCAAATACCTGGAGAAATATCAGCATCAACTACAGCCACCTGAAAAGTACTGTGCAATTCAGACAAGCATAGAAGTCTTCGCAGAACTCAGGTCTTTAACTCCTAGTTACCACAAGTTCACCACATTTCTCAGCTATAACATGCCTCAGATCCACTATTTATTCAGTCCTAACCAGTTGAATATAGCTCTCAAACACCATTCACACTAAGTCACCTTGAATGCTTACAGAATAAGAGACAGACAACTTCCTTGCTTGATTCAAGATTACTGTAAATGTTAAAATAACTCTAAGTAGGGAACACAGATGCATTCCATTATGTCCTTTCTAGTACTTCCTCTCTAAACAATTCAGGAGTTAAGCTTTAAGTAAGAAGTAATTGAACAATGAGCCCTATCCTGAAATATTAAAATTTAGATTCAAGGTTATGTAAATTTAATCAGTCCCAACTCCAAGCAGGTTCAATCCTGATCAACATTACCCTGATTTAGTACTACATTGTTTCTTGTAATTTAGAACTCACGCCAATATGCTAACACATTCATCACAACTTTGTTCAACTCTTCAATTACATCGTTCTGCAAAAGGCTGTAAGAATTAACCATTACATGGTTACAAGTCACTTCATTAGCCCTAAATTAATAACACCTGGTTTCCAATGGATTTATGACTTGCAATTGATTAGCTCTGATTGAAGCTCTTCCCATGTTCGGAGAACACACAGGCTCTCTGAGAGGTTTCTCTCCCAGATAAGATAGGAACTCAGAGGCAATTTTTCCTTCAGTTAGGGCACTAGCCGCTTTTAGGTCTCTCCCTTGCAAGAATTTCAGTACCTTTAACGTTTCCACCTCTGCCACATTCAATCAAAATAAACCATCCATTTCAAAGTTAAAGGGGAAAGCGGGCCACAAATACTTAGTTCTAACCCCACAGTTTTTTAGAAACAAAGTGATCAGAAAAATCAGTTGACTATTATCCTTTGATTAGGCAATCCTAAAAACAAGAGCAAATTCAAGTTACTACATATCCAGAGATTCTTTCTACAGTGAGGAAAAGGATGAATGAACTATAGTCTGGAATACTTCTTTGATCTTTTTCAAATGGCTTGTCAAAGTTGTCTAACCATTGCTGTATTGCTATAAGTCAACATTTATACATAAACAAGTGAATTATAATGGCACAAAGGCATTTGACATGTAACAGAGCAAAAAAGGTAGTTCTGCAAGATAAAACGTTCAAGTCAGAAAGTAAATTTGTCTTCAGCTCAAGAGCTAACATACTATATTTAATAAAACAAACATGAGATATGTACAGAGTGACACGTAATTCCTAATCCTAGTATGACTGATAACCTATGCAAAATTTATAAAGTTCTTTGTAAGGGAAGTCCATATTATACCCATTTTATAACTCACTGAGTCATGGAAAGATTAAGTAACTTTCTCAGGGTCATATAGCAGGTTACTAGCTGAAGTAGAAAAAAAAAAAACAAACCAACCCACACTCAGGGCAACCAAATCATAGTACTGGATGCTCTTGGTTAAGCCAGCCGTCCTCCTCTTTATGAAAAAAGAATTACACTGACTCTTTGCTAGTGCATTGCTTACATAAAAAGGCAGCAAGCAGTCAAGTATTTTCCTTCAGGGAAAAGGAGCAAGAGTCCTACCAAAAATGTTCAATCTATTTTATTCCCTTTTGAAAACTGTTGCATGCAAGATTAGCTACATTTGCAGTACTTCTCAACTTGCAAAACCAAAAGTGAACAGAATTAAAATCTAATTTCACAGTCAATTTAAAAAAATTAATTTCCAATTTTTCTACACTGATGGAAACACACTTCAAAGATGTCAATTACAATGCCTTTACAGATATTCCTTGTCCTCCAATTTCTCTTCCATCCCAAATTATGTTTATTGGCAAAGCAACTTAGTGTCAAAGGAAAACAAATGCAAGATACTTTTTTCATAAAAAACAATTAAAATTACTTTTTAAATGTTAGTAAGGTCTCCACATAATACTAAAGGCTGCTGAAGAAAACTATTTCCTCTGAAAACCGCAGTATTTTTTAATAGAAAACCATCTCCGATTAAAGTGTTGATGATGAAATTATATAACATGAATTTACTTGATGAAACTGTGGTTTTACTGCTTAACCTTTTTATACTTTGCAGAAGAAACATGGCAATTTAAAAACTCAGTTACTGCATGAAATAGGGACATCACAATTCCTCAGCTAGATGTCCTGTATGAAAAATACCCTGCATCAAAACCAACCAGATATGCACATGGCAATCAAAAGTCACAGCAGGTTTCTGAAACCTGCTTCTTTCAAATACATCTGATCTCTATGCAAGTTATTTATTGTGTGATACTACACAGATGTTCACAAACATCTACTTTCCTCCTTCAACACTGCACACATTAACAGAGGATAATTTTCATATGTTTTATATATTTGGGAAACTTAATATATGAGTCTTCATTTGAAAATATTTAAGGCAATATTGCACAAATTATTCTTTTGCTTATTTTGATACTCTGCAAATCACTTCAACTAAAAATTTAGGACCACAAAATTGCGAAGTGATGGGAAAAGGTCTAGAAGTATGCACTCTCTCCATTCACAGAACTAAAAACAATTATCAAGTGAAATGAGGATAGTGAAGCAGCTTTGTTTGTTTTGGAAGTTCGAAACATACGAGAAAGCGAGGTCATGCAATGTCATTCCATTTTTTATATAAAAATATGAGAGCATTTAAATGCCTGAAGGAATGATAAAAACGAAATTTTGCTGATTTTTACAATAAAAATATATATACTGCTTTTTAAGCTTAGGGATTATTTCAAATAGCCTTTTATTATACCAAATAAAATAAGGATTCTATTTATACAGAAAGAGTCAAGTAATAAAATGAAGCCCATATTCCTTAAGACAAGATGCATTCATGCCTCTCCCACTGGAGAGACTGGTTCAACAATTTTACAGTTAAACAGAATTAATTCTACTCTCAAAAATCCATTGACCTTAAGCTTTTAACAAACATTTTCAACTGCAGAGTGTATTGTCAATATTTACAAATCCTTAAAATTGTATTTCACTAGAACAGCTTTTATTTGCTATATTAATATTTCCTTGCAAATGTATGCTTATCCATATCAGAGAAGAAGAAACAGCTGCTACTCACAGGAAATCTCTGGGGTCCTACAGCAGGTCTTGGCTGGGCTGGAACTGGCAGCAAGGGCACTGAAACAAGAAGCACCTTTTAACACCATTTGTTTTACCTAACAGTTGTTGCTGTTATTTCCAAAAGCCGTTGCAATAAGAAGCCATGATTAAAATCTGCTACATTTACCCTCACATGTAACAGTTCCTACAATTAACTTTAAGTAACCATTCCCTCCTCCACAACATGCAACAGTGCAATTAGGATTCTCCTAGTTAATTCACATAATTTAATTCTGCATTTTTGAGAATTAAATTGCTCCTTGTTGCAGGAAGGAAAACTAGAATACTTACTCAGCCAAAGACATCTCTTAGACAAAGCTGACAGAGACTCTAACAATAATTTCATGTTTCAAATAGAAGAGTACATGATTAATTTGCCTTCTCAGCTTCACACCCCTCAAGATTTCCTAGGTATGTCCCAGTCTCACCACCAACCATGGGCATGAGAGGCTCGATCTGGTATAAATCACTGTTCATAAGAGGGTGAAATGAGGCAGACAGTGGCAATTAATAGCAAGCAAAAACTACTTAGGGTGGCCTTGCCACCATAATGGTATAGGCAACTATGATCACTGTGCTGATCTCAGATGAAAGACTGCTATTTCATAAAGAAACACCAAGAAGAATTAGAAGACCCTCTTCCTGAAAAATAACTTCCAAAATTAGGATTTCAGGGGCATTAACCTGGATGACTTGTCCATACAACTGCATTTCAAAAGACTAGTCACAAAAAAATTTCCCAAAATATTCACTTTGTATTATGGCATAATGCACAAAGCATCTACTGCTGGATCACCTTGGGGACTGATTCTATATTTGAATCCCCAGTAAAAAATATAATGACCGATTTCCCATTTTCCAGTGCAGTTTTTTTTCCTCATTGAGTTGTTTAAGTGTTAAAAGTACAAATGTTCTATGTTAAACAGAAGGCCTAGAGAAGTTAAATAAAGCATTTCAATCAAACAGCACTGAATGTGTTTGCTCATTTACTAAAAACTTTTAGTAAGTTCATTTTTCTTCAATTTGTTTTTAGCATTTCTGAAAGTGAGAGGGTTAAACATCAACTTTGTATTACACTTCAGAGCAGGAAAGATGTTAAGAAACGCACCCAACTCCTCCCTTAAACTAGCTGCATTTCCCATCATAGAGTTTGATAAGATGCCTCAAAAATCCCCTTCTCCTTGGTAATTGAGGCACAAGAACTAATGCATTACTGCTTATTTTTAGTTCATGTCCATGTCTGGCTTCTATCCACTTTTGTTAAGTACTTGTGGTTTACTAGTTCGGGGACTGATGGGGTAAACTAATTGCACCAGTCTTTCAGCACCGAACGACTGCATACAAACTTTGTATCGGGTTACGTGAGAAAATTAGTTTGAATAGTCTAATTTTGGCTTCTATTGAACATCTGTTGATACCAAACAGCCATGGCCACCTGGAAAAAAATGACAGAACTAGGACTAAAATAGCTCAGGTATTACAGGTCAGAGAGGCACTGAGAAAAATCACGTAAGGTGGGAAATGTAGAGAAATGTCAACTGAACAGGGCACTTGTGTTTATTTCAGTATCCTGCCTCTGGCAGTAGCATATAGAGATATATATATATTTTAACCAAATGAATTTAATACTCATGAAAGATAGTAGTTCAAACTTTGTGCCTTTTCAATCCTTGGACACTTGCTGAAGCAGCAAAGTCTCAAACAGGCATTCATTTTCCTGATGTCAAATCTTCCATAGGTTTGAAAAGTATGTTTCAAAATAATACACAGCATGCTGTTAGACACTATTTTAAGAAGATTAAATTGCTTTTGGCCGTAAATTCCAATGCTATACCTGAAAAGATGAAGAAGCAATTCCCATATTGATTATTTAGCAGAATTATAATGTAATTTTTCCCAAGACACCAAACAGTTTTTAAAAGGTAAATGGCATACTAATCTACTGAGCTGCCATACACTGCTCATCAGTACATGTCAATTTTAGCAGCACCACAGTATCCTTGAAATAGTTATCTGTGGTACAAACATTAAGGGGAAAAAACTCAGTATCTATTATCACATGTTGAATTAGTATTTCATAGTATATCTAGGTACAGTCCTCCAGCATTTGTAAATTGCTCATACTCAAATTCAGACATGCATTCAGCCAAAAATTACTACTTACAACTCAAAACTAATTTACAAAATAGGACACAAAGAAAAGAGAAAACTATATGACAAGCAAGCAACTAAAAGACATGGGATTCAAATGCCACAAAAGGCGTAACTGCCTGCCAACTCAACAGTATCTGCAACATGTACGCGCCGAGGCTCACATAACGGTTTTGGGGGTTTTGATAGACTCAGTCCTTCTTAATCATTTATGAAGCTTCAAAGGCTAGAAAGTTGTTTGAAACAAAACTGACTTGAAAGTAACTATTTTTCTGAACCAAGATTCGAGGCTGGGCAGGCAGATGGTGGCCACTGTAAGAGATTTGCCTTCAAGACATCAAAGGAATAAGCCAATGATAGGATTCTTCAAGAGTGCTTCAACTCACTTTCAGGCTGAAGTAGCTGGCTACTAGAGCTCTTATACATGCTATTTTATTCACATGAAAATTTCGTAACAATTTACAGGAGGTTTGAGTGTATTTTAGAAAATACTGATATACTCGACGCATTTCAAGACTAACTCAAACCAAAAAGATGTTGAGAAAGTATACTTCTATGATTTGCAGTTAGAAAAAGTGTTCCTGGTGCTGACAATTAGAAGTATGTGAGCTTAATCCTGTCATAAAATTAGAGAGGAAAAAAATGCCAGTCTACACTAAAACATGACAGCACACCATTAAAATTACCAGAACCTAAGTGTGCACATCATGCACTTCCAGACATGGCATTTTTAACTTCCAGGCTCACATTTTCAACAACAGAATCCCCATAAACTTTGCACCTATCTGACTGTATTCTCCAATGTGTAAAAACGCTCATGCATCTGGAAATATATTCAGCCAAGAAGGGGCAGGACATCATCAAGAACAAGAAGTCAATCTGATCCTTCATACTTCCTGTTACCCTGAAATAAGTGATGCTGCACGTGAAACACATCCTAATGTTGTCAACTACCAGTCTCTGCCTATTGGGGCCTCAAGCAGATGGATTAAACTGAGGAGGACTTTTTAAGAGGAAGTTTAGAACAGCTCTCCCTATACTGGTATTTCTGTCTACCATTTGCCTGCAGTGACTGCTTAAAAATTCATCTTAATATGCAAATGCCATTGAAGATTTTAGAATTATGCTCATTTTCCCTGAAGAAGACTACTGATTTCCTACACATGTTACATGTATACTTTCATGTAACATAATTGTACTGCTGCAGACCAAGAGACTGAGATGGCCACTACTCTCAGCCACTGCAGAAGATTCAGCTTCCCATACACGCTCTCAAATCAAGAAGATTAAAATTCTACAGTGATTTAAAAGATTGCATTTAATAGTATGCTGCATACCTATTAGCAGAAATATTCAGTAGTCTTGCCAAGGATTCCTTCAGTAAAATGGATGGCACAAAGGTATTTCATATGAACCAGTTCCCATCAATACACATAGCAAAGATCTTCCTCACTGAAATACAGGTCTTACACCATTCAAAAATGGATCACTCATTCTCCAGAGCTGCTCATTCTGAAACGACGACTAGACTTTTACCAGTGAAGAAATGAATGTGCACACAAAGTCAGCAGGTAAAAAAGATCTAAAAAAAGACTACAAATCCAATACTGAAGTTCTCCTAACATGCAGGAGGTAGACAACTTTGTTAAAATGAGGATCTGCAAGTAAAGACAGAAAAAAAGACTATGCCTAAGATAAAGCAAGGTCCCTGGAATACCCACAGTGCCACAGAGGTAGTGGTAAGGCTGAGACAAGCCTGAAGCCATCTGATAAGGTGAAAAAAACAACTCAGACAAAAGAAAGAAGATACACTGGTATACTTTTGACGTTAGGCAAAGGCAAAAATCCTCAGTAGCCATTTCTGGCATTAGGAGGAAACTTGTTCACCTAGATGCAGAAGATTTGTTGACTGTTTCACAGGGGGAGAGAGGAGAGGCATCTAGAATAGTCTAAAAAAAATTTTTGCTTTTCACAAAACAAGAACTGTTGCTTCAGAAATGTTAGGAAAATGCAGAGAAGGCATAAATCTAAGACTAAAGGACCCTTTGGACTGCTTCCATATAATCTGTCCTGATACATAATTTGGTGGGAAGCACTGATTTTATTAGACAGGAAAAAGTGAAATAATCTCTACAACTACTATGAAGTCATCTGTGAGAAGCCTAACAGATCTCTATCAACTAGCAATATCCTACCCTGCCAAATTCCTACCTTTCATTGGTCAAATAAATGAAGCAAACATAGCACTGGCTTGGAGTTCTGGGATTTGAAGGGGGAAAAATACAGAAAACCTAATGGTAAATATGTATAAATATATATGTATTTCTTTACTTGTCTAGTCCCAACAGAATTACAAATCAGACCTATATAGGTGTCTTTTTTTTTTATCCTCTTAGGGATTAAACACTTCCCAAATAAATAGTAATGTTAACAGCTCTGCTGAGAGCTGCCCTAAAAAGTATAGCCCAAAGAGTCCTTGTGTTAAGTTACGGAAAAAGCGTACTTGCAGGCTGCGAATCAAACAATCACAAATGTGGCACTGAAAGCAGAACTGAGGGTATGTATCTTGTCAAGTAAGGATAGCAGCTGGTACCTTTCACAGACCAATTACAGTGCAAGGAGTGCCTCAGTGTACTCTCACTGAAATAGGTGGGTGGTCGTTCTGTGAATACTTGGCTGAAGCTAGAATGATGTGGGAAATTATAAACTGCAGTACTTACCTAGTTTTGAAAACTGACATTCGCTACTTTTAAAAAGCACATTCTCTTTTCAGTTTCCATTTTTACTGCTCTTTGCAGGCTTTACAGTAGAGTAACAAAGATGATAAAGAACTTGAAAAGGCTTTACTATTTCAGCTGGCCACAGTCCAACAACATTATGTCTTACTTTAGGCAAAACATTTGTTTCAAGCTTATGGGAAAGTATCAGCCTGAAGCACATTTCCATGAAGTGATAAACAAATTGTTGCATCCCTGGCAAAGAATAAGATGAGTCATGCTCGCATGACTGGGAAGATGTTCAGAAAGCTCACCTTGTACAGGCGTCACTACTGTCCCCTTGAAATGCGGATTTATATGTATGTTCTTCGGTTGCTGAGGTGTCACTGGAGGTGGAGTCATCATTATTCTAGGCGTTTCTATCTGAGGGGGCATATGTAGCCCTGGAGGAGGAGAAGAATGATGCTGATGCTGTAAAGGAAGCAGAGATTGTAACTGTTGCTGCTGCTGCTGCTGTTGCTGCTGCTGTTGCTGCTGCTGCTGTTGTTGTTGCTGTTGCTGTTGGTGCTGCTGGAACAGACTCCTAACAGGTTGCTGGTGTGTTGGAATTAACCTCTGTGAATGAGTCTAAAGTCAGACAAAAGAATAAAGTCAATAGGCTTTAAAGTTAAAATATCCTGACATAAACCAGCACAAAACCAAGACACCTCTGGAGAACAATTAAGGCCAAATATGAACAGAAAAACTTCTTTGCCATACCATCAACTGGAACTGTTAAGAACCATCAGCACGGGAAAGCAAAGGAACAATCGAAGACATTCATGTGAAGGAGAAGATGGCAAAGAGCAAGGAAGCACACAGGGAATGCAGACTTTCATTCACTTATTTTTAACGGTGAAACTGTCTAGTTTCATATGTAGAGTTCTGCATATGTCACTGGAAACTGTCATCAACTGCAATAAGGTATATGTGATGATCACTAGAAATCTGAGTCCTAGTATCAAAACAAATCCACTAACTTTTGTCTCATGTATAGAGGAGCCTCTCTGGGAAAACAGACCTAAGAGTAGCAACAAAAGTCAAAATACAAATTAAGCTAGATTCTTAAGATATCAGTGCAGCCCACCTATCCATACTGCTTGAAGAAAAAACTACTTTAAAGATACCTTTCAAAGGTACCTTTTGTAACATTGAAGAAAGTGTCTTGCTGCTCAACACTTTCAAACACAAATGGCCAAAATCAGTTATAATTAAAAAAAAAAATAATTATCATGTTTCTCTTCAGAGATGTTCTTCTGCTTCTGAACTCACTGATAGTAGGTATCAGTCCTAGCCCAGTAACTTCCAAAGGGCAGTGCAAGAAGAGTCCCAAACAGGCAACCTTTTAGTAACAAAGATGCGACACATCATTTTTTTTCAGCAGCCATATACATAAAGCAAAGCAGCTACAAAGTATGCACAAGAAGAAGATATTGTGATGAGCACAATATGTTTACAACATTTAAGATCAAAATAACTAGCAAAGACTGCAGCAATACAGAAGAAAAATTATTCCACCTTCACTGTTTTAAAAGCATGAAATATTCTACTGCAGGGCTCTCAACCGCTGCGATATCCACCAACTCCTGCTAGTGATCAGCACCTAGAGTTACTGCTGTTGGAAAAAATCCCCTTTGTTTAATACAGATGACCTTGTCCTGCAAAGACATACACAGGCTTTGTTCTACAATCTCAGCTTCCAGTACATTTTATGACAGTTAACAAAAATAAGCATGGGCTACCTCTTGATCACACACTTGCTGGGGTTTTTTTTTGGATGGGAAAAGTAACATCTTACAGTTTGTGATACAAAGCGCAGGGGGAAAAAAAAGAGTAACAAAGCTAAACTTCATGTGAAATCCCAAGATACTAATTTATCTAGTGGTGATTACCTTCCTAGGGTTTTATTTGCCTCCATAATAGCATGGTAGGTATACAAATAGATTTTTTTAGAAGCATCAGCAAAAATATTAGTTTGACAAAAAACAAGAAATATTTTATAAAATCATATTTTTTCAAACTAAATTACTATTGATAATGTGGAACTGAACATGTTTCCATGTTGCATGTAGAGGACTTCTCAGAGGAATTAACTTTTTCCTCCAACCTGATTGCGTTGTATGAGTGGAAATCCATTTTTCATTTGGAGGCCTTGAGATTCCTCAAGTTGAGGCTGGTAACAGGACTAAGCACATACTTTCATAATCACCACGTTACACAAAGCCCATCTTGCCTAACAGTGCCCTGAAAGAGCAAAAAGTGTCCGTTGGAATATATATTCCACCTTAGTAAAGATTCACAATTTAGAATGCGTTTCTCCATAATTTCCTGAAAGTATATTAAAAGAATACTAAGGATTAAAAGGTACCATTGTCGATGGCTGGTTTGGCAGCAGTGCAGGCCTGTGATCCTTCATTCTGCCCCTATCATTATTGTCTCTCCTTTGTTCTCCCATTCCGTGGCACATAACCGAGCCTCCTCTTCGCCCTCCTCTCCTTGAGCCATACCGTCCCTGTTTAAGCTGCCTTTCCCTCTCCTCAAATTCAAGTAATGCTGCTTTGGCTTCTGCAGAAAGTTCTGTTAAAAGAGAGAGATGGGAAAAAAAATATTTTAGCTTTGTGCTGAAAAGATGGAGAATATAATGAAAAAAACATTGCTAGGACTAAGGAAGCATCCCTGCAACTAACATAAAATTTGCAGGCACTTTGATCTCCTTTAGGTGGCATGTTAACATTTCATTAAAGACATCTTTAAAAGGAAAAAGCACAGATACTCGTGTCTGTTGCACAGTCAAAAAACAGCAGGTAAATGAAACAAACATGAACAAAAAGGTTTGGGTTTTTTTTTAAATGCTATTGAAGTTTGCCTTACGCTGTAAAAGGAGGCTGTGGCTCCTCTCACATTGTGTTATCCTAAACAACATCTCACTTATCTGCAGAAATGTCAAGCAGCACAATGAAACCCCCAAACTTTACAGTAAAGGCTATGTTGAGTTTTCCATATAAGCAGATTTTATCTGCCAGATTCTTTTGCACTTTCTGGTCACTGAAGTGTTTTTGCAGTATGTAATTACTTAATATTTTATTTATTGTATGTGGTTGAAGAACCAACTGTACTTTACAAGTGATAATTCCACTCAGAGAGAGCACACTTCAAAATCTGTGCTCAGCTCAAGTCAAATACATGGCCACTGATAACACCCACTCAACTCACATGACAGGTAAACACCAGAGAACAGACGGTACTCAACGAAGACTGCCAAATTTGCTTGAAACCTGGGACAATGTTGATAACATTAAGAGAAAACCATGCAGCAACAAGCCCAGGTAATTACATTACTTGGAAATATAGAGAAAGTCTACAACAAACTTCAGGAAACACACTGTGACAGTATGAGCAATACCACTCACCAGGTTTCAGTTACTTAAAGGGGATAAACTTTAACCCAAACACGCAGCTGAGGATTTTGCCATGTGCCAGTCAGATTCCTTGTTACCTCTAAAATTGACTTCTGCCTCTAACAGGGCAAAATTAAACTACTCTCCAAGAAACACTCTCATGACAAATAAAAACATATTTTGAATTCATATAAATGGCAATTAGTGCAAGAATTCAATTTTTCCATTTAAAAAGTCTGCTCTTAATGTTAAAGGAGACTGGGTACAGGGACCACTTTTCAGGACAAAGTGGTTTTACTTGCTAATAGTACACATAATGGTTGTAGTATCTGAAGATCAAACTGAAAACAGTTTATATCTGGCAGCTGAGACACTACTGCGTCTCCACACCACTACATATCCTCCGTCAAGAATACATAACTAAAGCAATTAGAAAATTATTAAAATTTCTTGTGAGTCTAATAGCCAAAGCTACTTAAACCACCATCTTAAACATCTTCACAAGTAATCTCAATTAGTCTTTGAAGTTGAGGATTGACAGAAATGCAGAAAAGAGTGAGCGCCGCGCATTGCCACTGCGGCAGTTGTTCTTACTTGGCTACAAAAACCACCTGCACGACTGAGCTGCAAAGACTGTAAATTTGCATGTCCCAGTTTTCAGAGGTATTCAGCACCTCCAGAAAGCAGGGGCTTTTTGATTTAAAAAAAAAAAAGTTTAGAACTTGCTGACTGTCTAAGAACACAGCAAACATGACAGACTCCTAAAAGCCCAGGACCTGCCATATAGTTTCCTATTTCACTTCTGCATGTTGGTGATGAGACAAGTGTGTCTACCTCCTTTTCTCTCCCCTCTCTGACACTGCAATTAAGTGGCATAAAGCCTTAATTTACAATCACACCAGATATTCTTATGAAATGCTACCTTTGCCCTAGCACCTGCCTCAAGAGATTGGCAGAGCCCAAGACAATCAGGCTTTATCAGGAAAATCTCACAGCATTCTTAGAAAGGGGCAAGGAATCACACTCCCTCAAGTCTTAGTATGGTATTAAATGTGCACACTATAGATTTCTGAGGAAAATTAAGACAAATGTACTCTTGTCCAAAGTGACCAAAAGCACTAGATGCGACTAAAACAACCACCTTATCACTCTTTAGCTATCAGGGATGAAAAAAGCTGGTTTAATGGGAAAAATAGAGCTCTGATTTCAAGCCTCCTTCCTGTCCACACCTGAAGCAAGTTCAGTTTCTTCAGAGGCTTGCAAGTGTGAAAGGGCTAACACAGGCTTTTAGTTGATCTGCAGGAAAGACAGACCACTAGCTCCCATATACTTACAGAAAGAAATGGTGCCATTACATTGCAAAGCAACAGCTTTCCTCCCTTTAACCAGAGAGGATCCAAATCCTGCAGGGCATCCTGGGCATGCTGCTAGCTGGAAAGTTTTCTTTTTTTTCTCCAAGAATAGGACAGACAGGGCAATTTTTCTGCCATCTTCCACACTACAACACTGAACACAGCAAAGTAGTTTGGAAAGCAAAGTTCAGTCATTGCAACAAGTACCTACCACTGATATTCATTCAAGATGACAAGAAGCTATCTCCTATTAAACAGATTAGAAGTCACATGTGAGGAAAGCAATTCTTAATGAACCTGGGAATACAGCTAGGCTTCCTACAAGGCAAGATCATGTCTGAGTCTCTCAGCCTCTTGAGCACACATCGAAGGACGCTGAATAGAAACAACTTTAGAAGAAAGAATGGGCTGCTCCAAACAATATGAGCTCAGAGGGCTGCACTGATTAAGCTTGGGAAAGGGATGACAGCATCCAGAGGAAAGTCAGTCCTGATGATTTTCGATGTGTGCAGGTACTTTTCACTCTCTTTAAAATGAAAGCTAATAAATTGTTTTCCTACTCTCTTTACACAAAAGTTCTCAAACTTTAGAGGCTGTGTCTTTAAAGGCACAATCCATGTATTCCGTTTTTCAGCCAGAAAAATGAAACTGTGTGTAACACTGACCTTGGAAAAAATATCCCAACCAAAACAAAAACCCCCATGAATTCATTGCAGCATGCATCATTACATTCATATCGCATCTATGACCACAGAAGTACAATTAACCATATGATTTTTAAACAACAACAACAAAAAAAGTGAGACTACATCAACATCAAGCATACCTCCCCCAACAACATGCCACTGAAGGCAACAGTGTCCTACCTGTGAAGAATTTTGCTTACACACAAAACTGCAGGTTCAGAGCCTCAGAGGCAGACTGCAAAAGTCTCATGCAGTGAACTAAACTTGTGAATACCTCAAGTGCTTTATATTGCTATCAGTCACCATGCAGCAAAATAGTCAGCTCAATTATTAGGTGGGCTGTTTATCAAATTTGAAAGCATTGTGCCACATGTACAGAGATCAAGGAGAGGAGACCGTGTGGAAGACAGTTTTGCAGGGAGGGGAGCAAGGAAAATAGTCCTTGTCTTCCCTGAAAGCAAGATCAAACCGCTAACTAGAAAAGAGGTGATGAGCAGAGGAAAAAGAGATCCTCCTTCCCTCCCTAGACTCTTCCAAAGCATAGCCAGGTATTCACATGAAAAGGCCCACGGCTTCTCCCTGGCTAAGAGCTTGTGGGCGTTGTGACCAGAACACACTGCGCCAGGCTGGATGCTGCCATGCCCCCTGGACAGCGTGGGCAGGCTGCTGCAGCACACGGCCACTGGCTCCTGCCTACACCAACCCTGAGAACAGGTCTCTGCGGCTACATCTGCCTTGGGCGGCTCCCTGAGAGCAACGGCATTTCAAATCTCCAGGTTTGAGAATCCCAGAATTCCTATTATCCTGGATAATGCAGACATTTGCAACATAAACCACATTCCAGAACAGCTATTAAAAAAAAAATGCATTTACATATATATGCAATCTAAATAGAGAGCTAGCAAATGTTCTCCTTTAACTTTTTTTCTCCCCATCATCCAGACTTGCAACTTGATTACACTATGTGCTTCTGCACACAGTGCAACAGGACAACAGTGAAACCATTCATTTTAATTTCCTAGCCTTGCCCAAAATCTCAGCCACTAGTTATCAGAGTGAACATGAGCCAACTAAGCAGGACATAACAAGAAGTACTACCACATCCAATAAACTTTGTTATCACTTTGCAAATGGCTCTGCATAAGTGTAGGGTTTTGTTTTGGTTTTTAAATTAGGTACAGAAAGAATGCTTTGGTTTGGTGATGCCAAACAAAGCCATTTTTTTTCACATTCCTTAACAGGTAACTAAATCCAGAGCATGACGACAATTCCAACTATATGCACTGAAAGAAGTAAAATATTTCTCATCAAAGATTATAAACTCAGTATCTCTAGAAATCAATTGCATAGTTGTCCTACAACACCTCTCCTTTAAACTTTTCAAAACCACTACTTACATTATCTTGGATAAAGAAATGTTTAGGAAAGATCTCAGCTACATTCATAACAATACTCTGTATTTTTACATATTTTTACCAGCACTCACTTATTCTCATCCTCACTGTACAGTTCTCACACACACAGTTAATGCAGTGAATCAGCAATTATTTTTCCAGTGTCTCTAAGTGTCAAGATTAATTTCACTATCGCTGGTAATAAAATGGTTTCAAATGACATCTTTAATCAGCAAGTAAGAATGCACTCCTCCAATAGAGACAAGCTGTCACAAAAGGTCACCAAAATGTGACAGGATGGAAATTACGTTTGTAACTTCAACTGAAATGTTAATTCCTCTTTAAGTGTTTTCTCAACTATGTTCAGATTTTGAAGTAAGGAGATGTAGATCTGCAATTAAGTTTCATTTTTAAACCAGTAGCATCTGCAAAAATTTGCTCTGTAATCTCAAAAGCAAGCAGGTATTTATATGCAAACAAGTATTTTTTGCTGTTTAACTTTCCACCACATGGTCAACCATTTGGTCTCTTTATCAACAACTTAACATGAAAAACTAGTATGAATAGAAACCATTTCATAACAGCAAGATTGTATTTTTGCCAAAGATAAGTTTCAAAAAAAGCTCTTTAATTTATATATTCATCCACATTAGCATCACCTTTTCCTTGTATCTCAGAATCACTTAAAATTACACTTAAAAATAAGTCTAATTCGAATCACTGTTCCTTTCACAGTCAAGCTCCACTACAGGTTTTCTCCCTTTGGCTGGTCTTGTCTTTACATTAAGCTACAGAGTAAATCTCCACAGATATCCAAAAATGCATGGAATTGTTATTTACCTTGCAATTATGTGCAGAGATTTAGCTATTCCAGTGCACTCTTGTTCTGAAAATATTCTGTTTTGTAAAGCCACCAGCAGCTTTTGTATAAATAGGATATGGTCTCTATGTGGTATGTAAAAATATGGTCTTATGGTTGAAAACACATCTGGAATGCACTTCAGCTAAAATATTCCTTGCCCATATAGACTACTCTGTGCCTGTAGAAGGTTCCCTTCAGTCTTATTCTAACCAGAATCAATTGCTGATTATTAAAACAATGCTGAATAAAGGCCCTTAATACACACTTTGCCTGAAATTGCAAGTAAGAAGAGCTATTTGCTAAATACAAACAACAGATGAGAAAGATCTTGATTCAAAATCATGCACCGACATCTCACTCACAGCACGACATGACCTACATGAATACCACTGTGAAAGTCTGGTTCAGCCTTTGGAGCTGACTCCTTGCTGCTCACAAACAAGTCCTCTTAGTCACAGCACCTTGGTTATAGAATTAAGGCTTCTCAATTTTTGCAGGCATAGTAAAAGCCCAAATTCCTTACAACCCAATTAAAGAATTAGGAGGCTATGCAAATCAAGAGAAAAATCCTTAGAACCAACATCCTTTGCAAAGCAAGGCTTTTAAGGTAAGAGGAAAATTTCATCAGGATGAGTTGCGGCAATCTAGGTATGTGCTCTAGTAATGTAATTCCAAAACGCTCTGTTGGCCCAAAGACACTGACTGATCTGGAAAGAAAGCAGAAGCACTAGCTACCAAGCTCATGCTGCATGGCCCCCATCTTAAAGCAATCCTGTGTAAAGGATTCATCCCTACGGTCTGGCAAAACTTGAAGTATCATCAAAAAATACATCTTCCCCCAGTGGTATCTGACAATTATCCAACAATATCTGACAATTTGCCTTCATTACCAGTTCACTTCTCTTGCATATCTTGATTCTCTTCAAAAGATCAGGGCTTTTTCTCCATAGTTTGAATTGATATTTTGGTTCACTAGTAAAACTATGAGAATGGTACACCTTTCTGAAAGTAAAACTTAATTTCTGCCCATCTCCCTAGTATCACCTTTTTAACTTGACTTTTTATTATTATTATTTATTATTACCACCACTACCATAAGGCCAACGTGAAGAGGTAATTTAGTTATCCCCAGTGGGGCAGGTACAACACCAGTATCAGATACTTGAGTATCCATGCTACATGAGGGGTCTTGAAGTTAACTCTCAAAACCAAACACCAATGTGATTTTATTTACAGACTAAAACAGAGCAGCTGCAAGAAAGTTGCAAATCTACTGCTTCTTCTGAACTAGCAGTGGCAAACTCATTAGCTACATGGAGCAGTGTTCCTAGAAACACACACACTTGTGTTATGCTTCTCAAATACGAAGAAAATACACCCTTTCAGACAATGCCTAAAGAATCAAGGTCGTATAAGAGATCTAGATTGTTCCATGTTAGAAAAGCTGAACCCAGAAAACAGAGGTTTCCATATTTTTCTAACACACTCCTCAGCAAGTTACAATTTCTCTAGGCCAATCCAACCGTAGGAATACAACAGGTTCACAGCACGCTTATGTTCTTGGGGGAAAACAGCAAACATGCAGGTATTTCACAGCAGAACAAAAGTAACAAGATTTGTGTTATCAACTGAAAACCTTCCAAAGATGGAAGTCCAAAGGAATTCCTTAAAATGTATTCCACCACAATACGTAGTGAAGCACAGATGAGAGAGCTACTGCTTGAAAACACGAAAGCTTTTAAAGACACCACAAAATTCTCAATGAACAAACCTTGCGATGGTTTTCAAAACATGGTGTGCTTAAACATTATTCCCAAGGAGATAGACACTACACATGCTACAACACACTACATATGACTTTGGACAACTTGTATATAGGCCAGTCTAAGTTAGAAGGTGACGGTTCTATTTTTTGCCATTAAACTCTTTTCTAAAAGTTTTGGCAAGCCTGTCTTTTACTTTCTTTTATTACAGCTCTTCCACAGCAACAGTCCATTGCCACAAAACCTCACCCAAAGTTTCTGGAATGTTTCTCCTTTCTCTTGTCACATCTGAGAGCCTAATTATTGTTCCTTCTTTCCGTTCAGTTTTGAAACGTAATCGTCCAGACCCTTCGTCATCATCCTCCTCTTCATCAGATTCTTCTTTTGTTTCTTCTTGAAGTTCCAGAGATTCAATAGCTGCCTGAATCACAAAACACAGAGGACATGCAAACTGAATAATCTATTTTCTTGTCATCAGTGAGTGTCAAAAGACAAAGCTTTCTTTAAAGGTCCCATTGTACAAATTTTGCTGGCATTATACATTATCCTCATACATAACCCAGTGAACATTTAAGAGCTCGGTGAATTTTTTTAAAATATAAAGATATGAATTATATAATAAATTATATAGTAAAATCTATTGAGAAAACCCATTTTGCTGCAAGGGAATATGGAAACTCCAGTTACAACCACCATCTGATCAGTAGCTACTTTTGCACACGAGCGACATTTTATCACTGAATTGACTAGGATGCAAACCTGGGATACTACCAGATTCAAGTAATGTAAACATTAAATCATTAAATTTTTTTTTTTATTTGTTAACAACTATCAGTAGCATGTTGTTAAAAAAAAAAACACGAAACCCAACCCAACAGATAACCTTACATCTCAATTTTATTCCTCTACGTATGTATAACTGTACTTGTCTTTTTTTTTTCTACTCCTTGGATACTTGCCAGTTTTAATTCAGCAATTGACGAAGAGAATGTAGAACAGGATTGGATAAAATCTGAATATACTAAATTTGTATATTGAAATGCTACTCCCTTGTCCTCATTTAACTTTCCAGCTCTCACTATAACAGAGAACATTTATTTAGATAAAACAGTGTCCCTAACGAAAATGGATCACTCTCCTCCAAATTAAACAAAAAAGAAAAAAAAAGAGAGGAGAGGGAAGGGAGGAGAGGGAAGGG